AAAGAAAAAATAATACAAAGAAAGGCGTCGCGCTTTGAAAAGAAGCAGTGAGCGCATAAGGCAGCGTGAAAAGGACTCGAAAGCTCGACAAAAGCACATAATAATATTGTTGAACAAACGAATTGTGAAGTAAACTGTTGACTGCAAGCAAAGCAGCCAAGTTGAAGAAGTGCGTTGGTATGCGAGATAACAATAAATGTGCGGCATAAAAGAATGCTGCATTAAAGAATTATAAGAAAAAGTACAAGGCGTAGAAAAAGGTTAAAGTTAAGCACACATACAAATATTGCAGGCACACACACATGCATGTATGTGTGTTCCATATGTGTGCTATGTGCATATGCCTGTGTATATGTTTCGTATGTGCGCTCGTATGAGCGTGTCACGTGAAGCTCGTTTACCAATTTTTTTTTTTTTTGCCATCACAACGCAGACGCGCCTGCGGCTTTTCATGCCAACCATATGAAGAATTCTTCCACAAACAAATACGCCAATGGACATTTGAGGTTTCGCAAATAAGCACACGCAACTGCCTGTGTGTCAGTGGCGAAGCAGCAATGTACACAATATATAGTACAACAGTGTTTTCTGGAATAGCAACTTGGGAGACAAAGCCACAAGGGATTCTAATGTAGTATGACTGTAGGTAGAAAGCCGAACGATAATCGGAAGTTAATCAGCAACAATGAAAGAAATGGCAAAAGCGCACAGGAAATAAAAAAAGTTGTTGCCGAGTTGTACAAACATCGTTTGAATATATGTGTGAGTGGTTTGAGTGGAATCTATGGTTAACTGAGTGCCTCTCTGTTTGATTGCGATGAAGTAAAGCTTGTGCAACACGAGTTTATGTCTATTTTTTGCATTATTTATTTTCATATTTTTTATTTCATTTTATTTCACTCTTTCTTTACTTTAAGCATATAATGACGCTTCTGTGGTGTTTAAAGTCCTGTTAGCGTCATTTGTCTGCTTTAAATTGTGACATTTGCACACTTTTGCGCCCTCGTGCTCTGTCATTGCAATGCAAGCATAAAAGCAGCAAAAAATACATGACATAACGACATCGCTTGCAACGTCAAGTGTCAATATTTGTCATAGAAGTTGCGATTTTACGCTCCTTTTACTCTTCAATTTGTCACATTTCACTGTTGTTGACTTTTGTTTCAAGCGCTCAGCGCTAATTTAACAGTTGAACGACCCAAAATGCCAGAAAGGCAATTGCACGTTGACGTGGTGTTGCCATATGGTTTGTTAAACTGTGTGACTTGATTGGTATGTAAAAATGGAAGATATGTAAGTGCTAAAAACACTTCTGTTTTTTCTGCTTTTGAAAAATAAATTATTTGTATCGTCAGCTGAAATGCAAAACTACGTTTCAGCAAAACAATCAAAATTGAGGTTTTTATTGCTTACGATTACATCATATTATATTTGTGTATCATAAAATTTTCAGTTTCCACTGTCATATATAACCAATATGTAACCGATATATAACCAACCAACCAAAACTCAAATTTAAGTTTTTGTTGCTTACGATTTACTACGTACATAGACATATGTATCATAAAATTTTAACCTACCGCTGTCAAATATAACCAATACATAACCATTTTATAACCCAAACTCAAATTTGAGTTTTTATTGCTTACGATTAACTATATTCGTAATATTACATATGTATACGTATCATAAGCCTTCCGCAAATGTAACCAATATATAACCAATATATAACCAATGTATAACCAGTTTATAACCAAAGCTCAAATTTTATAACGAGTAGTTTCTATTAAATCGTTTATGTCTATATAAATTTGTTTTCAATTAGGCATTTCCACTTTTGACAAAAACAATACTCACTACCCCTTTTCCCACAATAAAATCCGCTAATCTGCTCAGCGGCACAGTTTTAATCATTTTTGGTGCCTTCAGCGCTACCCGCGGTAACACAACACTTTCCAACAATAGGCACAAACGCGCTGCGGTTTTCACCCAACTCAACTCTAATCAAATTGCAATCTATAGGCAATATGCTTACTATAAAAAATCGTCAGCCAAAATGTATTGATTGATGACACGTGCGTCCCGTCTAGTATCGGGTTTTACACAGTGCCACATTTTCCAAAGGCTTACACAGCGCGCACAAATCGCAATTTAAAATAACAAAAAGAAAATTAAATACAACATTTATTTAGTGCTAACAACCACTGGCGCTGAGTGAAAAGTGAAAAAAAAATCTGTAAAAATAGCGGCAGCTACCCTCACGGGCTCAAAAATAAAAAGCAAACAGCATAATTAATGCGCTGTCACATAAAACCATTAGCAAAGCATAAAAAACTCGTTGCACTACACGCGAAAACTATGTAGAATGCTGGAAAAGTGGCGGAAAAGCGCGACGCATAGGTTTCGAAAAGGGTGCGTTGTATGGAAAATGAGATAATCCTGTGAGCGCATGTAAGCTGCTTCCCAAAAAAGTAATAAATTTCGCGTTTATCAATCATGTAATCGGATAATAATTGGGTATGTGCTACTGTTGCATAGGCAGTTGGCGCGCGGTGTGTAGATCCTTGCGCGCAACGCAACGAAGCTGGCGCTAACCAAAATTTTCCGCGTTTTCACTTTCTCTTTACGCCGTTATATAGCGCGCAACAAATGAGAAGTATGGGAAGTGTGCAATTTCGTAACGGAGTGTGTGCGCCAAGCGATCGCGCCTGTTAAATGTCACGCGTTGCATGTTGCACTCACTTAAGCAGCAAGCGCGCGCTACTCAGTTGCTTAACAGCCGTTTCCCACTGTAGTCACTAAAGTATGTGCACTTAATTCGCATTTCCGCTCGCTACAACAAAAATAAAAACACATTGCAATGTAAGCAGCACGTATGCAGGGCGCGCACCCTTCCCTGGTGCGCCACCGCCAAGTGGCACACTATCATATTTGGCCATAGTACTGCCTGCCACATGGTTTTTTTTTTTAGTTTACGCTCATTTCATTATGTTTTTTGTGCGCGCTTAAAGTGGGTGGTTTTGTATAATGAAAATTAATGCACTTTTTCACCAGCGCTGCAGGAGGGGTGCATTATCATATTGCCAGCATATGCATGCACCGCCGCAACACTACGCCGCGCGTTTTGCTGCACATCCCCTAACATAAGATGCGCACTCAATGCAATCTTTGCACTAACAAGCATGCACTTAAGCACACTTACAGGCGCGCATACTTGCATGCTAGTGCCAATAATGTGCAAAGTGTTGAGTAGCGAAAACAAAAAAGTTTTTGCCTTTTTTGCAACTTTTCATTTTTACGCCTTTTGTGCGCAATAAACTAGCGCTTATGCCTTTTCTAACGCACGGCACTGTCTCAGCAACTATAACTTGCATTTTAGCCAGCTCTGCGCTCGCACCTTTGCTGTTTAAGGGTTGCTATTGTTAATGCATGTCGGCCGAGCGCATAAGTTGTTGTATTTTATGTTTTAACACCCTAACACGGAGCGCGCATTCACCTAGTTGTTAGCAAGCGCTTTGTAGCCTGCTTTGCATTGTTGCAATTTCGTTGTTGCTTACTTTACAACAATGTATTACAACGCCTTTAGGCGCGCTGTTGTTGCAAGTTATGCGCTTTTCGTTGTATGTGGTTTTGAATGTAACACCCTTCGCCCAAAACTGGCACTTTATGCGCGCCACCCTCCCTCTCGTACTCACACTAATTTTTTTTGAAGTGTCTCTCTACAAAGAGGCGCGTCGTTTTTCAAGTGTTATTTTATTTTGGAAATCTTAATAAACACAAAATGTGCGGGAAATGCGCGCCTCTTCAGTCCAACAGTGCCCACTTACCTGGACCAAAGTGCGAATTTGTGTAACAAAAAGTTACGTGCGTTATTGTTTCGCATTTAGTCAACTCATTACCGTAAGTAAACTTGCATGTTGTGACACTGCCTCAAATGCGTTTTGTGAATTTATGCAAATATTTGCGCGCAATGACAACACGAGCGAACACGACAATGCTCGAGCGAAAACATGGATGGCGGAAGCTGAAAGGATGTAAAAATTATGTCACACACTTGTAAGTGCAGAGAATCGTGAGCAAAGTGTTTAACGTAACAGTTTGAGAGCTTATGATAACTGAGTAATGTTCATTAATATTCTCTGCTGGAAGCGTGCTTCTTCGTAAGATCATGTATCAGTTCGTATAGCACAACAATGGTTCGCCCGCTTTCGATCGTGTTATCCATATTTAGAAACGTGGATCCAAGCATCTTTATTTTGCATCTGCAGACTGTTATGCAATCAATTAGAAGGAGTTCTGGAAATTCAGGCTTCCTGTCGCAGAACCGGCATTTTGCACAAGAAGCTGGCACAGTATTTTAAAGCTTATATATAAATGCATAAAAAATATATTCCTCAATTTACTAAAACACTAAGAACTTATTAAAAAATTGTTACTAGAAAATCGTTAAGAGAACTGCGCTATTTGGTGCCGGGTCCTTAGCTTAGCTCACCAACGTGGTATTTCACAACACTATTAAAACTTCAGGCATTGTACTTATGCTAAATAATTTCAAAGGTGATCATTAATGATCTCGAGCATTCCCCAAAATTGAACTAAATTGGACTTAGCAACAAGTGCTACATCCAATATTTATTGGCTACTGTCTTAACCACTTTTTATAACCGTGGGCAACAAGGGGCCTGGCAACAATTACTAGAATAACAAAAAACAGAAAACAAATTTGTAAATTTGTTTGTGCCCGAAACAACACGCTTTTCACTTATCACTGGACGATAACTATTTGGCCATGAGCAAAGCATATTAGACTCAAACACTCGAAATTCAAGAGCGAGGAACTACTATGCTGGGCAACAAGGCCACGATGTATGAATTTTATAGGATGACAATGTCAGCCTCAATTTACAAATACCTCATAATCTTCGAGAAGTTTGAAAGAAATTTTTAGATGACTTTGTTTCGAAAAGAATATTTGACCACAGATTCGCATGCTTACTTACATTCTTCGCGGTAAAATCCGTATTCCACGCATATGATCAGGTCTCAACCTGATCGTGTTTTTTTTTTTCTTGCTAACTTATTTTTTTTCTTCCGAATGAATGAAATCCTCACAAATCATCAACAATTCTTAAACACAAACTCAATAGCGTCCAAGCGTAAAATAGCGTAGATATCGAGCTCATTATCAAGTGGAAAATCACAACCATGATCACTATATATTTACAGGGATTTCGCAATTAAGCATCACAATACTGATCACTATATATTTATTGGGTTTATCAATCAAGCGCTTAAGCTTGAAAGTCCGTCACGATCACAAAAACATCACAAATCAATCAGAATGACAATCATGCCACATTCTATTCAACATATGGCACCGAAGCACTGTTATCGTATGAAATCTTAAAGATCGTCTACAAAATTTGCCATCAGACGAAAACATAGTAGAACGCGTAAGTTCACAAAATATTCACTGTCGTCGCGCGTCGAATGAGAGAACAACCGCTAAACGTGCTGACTATGCTGTTTCATGGCTATGCGCGTATCACAGCGCGTTTTTGACGTTAGATAGGTAGGGCGCGAGTGCCGAAATCGCACTAAATTCAACGATTTGAAGTAAAGGCCTAATTGGCAAATAGTACGAGTATAGGCGAGCACACGCTTACCGACGACAAGCGCAGTCACGGCGCTACGGTGTTAAGGCATTCGGCGGGCGTCGAGGAACACCCCTAAGCAAAAGCAAAGATTATAAAAAAAAAGAAAATAAAAAAAAGCACACACAGAAAACAGGTGAAATACAAAAACAAAAGCAAAAAACGTTAATTGCAAGTACACATTAATAAATAACTAGACAATAAAAGCAACACAGCGGCAAACAAAATATTTATCAGATAAGTACAACAGGCGCTCGATAGGTCTGGAGTGCTGGTGCGCGCGTGTGTAGTGGTGCGCAGCAGTGCAAGTGTAAGCAAAAGCATTTTTAGTTTGTGTTTTTGCGCTTTTTTGTTTTTGAGTTTTCTCACCTGCGCTTTGTTTTTTGTGGCTTTTTATATTTTTTTGGTTTTACTTATATATTTTATATGTATATATGTATATGACATAAGTGCATTTACTACACTATTGTCTTACAAAGCAACGCCCCAAATAACGCTGATCGCCGCGCGTTGATAGCTGCGGCATGGCTAGCGCGCAGCTCTTGGCTTTTTATCACTTAATGATAAAAAATGCTAAGTAAAAAAGCGCCTTTTATTGTTGTTGGTACAGTTTGTCGCGCATTAGCTATTTGCCACACACGTGCTTTTCACGTTCGCGCCGAGTGCACGCAGCACCTACGAACTTATATAGTTCTTTTTTATTTTTCTGCAATATTTTAAAATTGTTGAAAATACATATATATTTTATATTTTCAATATTTTTTATTATATTTTA